TTATGAATCCTGTGCTCTATAGTGATATAAATTTGCTGTTTAAATTGGCACTCAATATTGTGATATTCACCATCTCCTGTGACATAGCCTGTTCATTGTATGACTCATAGTAAGTGTGATAGAGAAAGGTATCTGTGTTTGCATGTCCACTGAAGAATATGCACTAGGTATATTTTGACCAATTCATTTTTCAAGTCTGCAGCATCATGCTGGCGACGAACAGAGACAAGAAGTAATTTAGTACACATTACAGAATTTTTGTTGTATTAATGTTTTTAAAGTGTGGTAGTTGTGGTTTTGTTCAATTTATTGCCATGTGTGAATTAAAAAAACATGTAATTAACAGTGTTTTCTGCCATAATTTCTCTGCTTATATCATGACACATAAACTGTTTACCGAAATGAAACCTAACTATTTGTTGACTTGTATTGCATGCTTGACAGTTGTATATTTACTTGGAGTTTACTGAAGTATGAGACTGATAAGGACAATCAACGTTCACTGAGAATTTACCTTTGATTTTTGTTGTCATGAAAGAGAACAGTGAACCAGGTATTATTTTTAGGAGAATAGAATAAAATGTTAGACAGGGAGTCCAGGTAGCCGGTCAGTCTGGAGTCCACTTCAGTGGAGCAGAGTAAGAGACTGTGTGCATAAATACATGCAAAGGTGGGTAAATATGTCTCTGTGTGGGTATACTAGAGATGGTCAGCCGTATAAGAGGGTGCAGTTTATTGAAAAACAAGGTTATTTATACACTTTTGGAAGAGTTAATCCAGTCAATCTACAATTCCTTTGTACTTTACTAGTTTCCTACTTAGTATTTCATATTTCAGGCCTCCAAACTCATGACAATTATCTTCTTGGTTTATAACTTTCCTTGCATTTAATTACATGATTTCCCACATCTTAGGAAAAGCAGACTGGCTTGAACTGTAAAAATAAAGACTTCCATGAGCTGGGTGTGGAAGAGATCTCACAGTCTGCATTCAAAATGTCTCCAGAAGCCTTCATGAAGACTTAGTGGATTCATTTGAAACTAGTCCTAAATACAACAGATTTTGGCATTTTGGACATGTATATGTCTATGTCCCACAGAAAAATCCATTAAACCAGATCTGCATTCTGATAGAAATTTGTCTAACCTCTGCAATTATCTTAGGTACTTTTTTGAATAGCACTTTTACTATCAGGTAATTCCAGTACTTGTTTATTTTTTACTGGTTAAGGAAATCTAGATTATCACTATTTTCTCCTTTTCTCCAACTCAGAATTTCTTTGTTTTATTTGTTTTCCAATAACTCTAAATAACCTGGCACAGATTTTTGTGTTTCATAAGAAGCTTCAAATATAATTCTGTGCTTAGAGGAACTGTAGAGGAAATGTTAACATAATATTTCAGAAATATATCATGTGTGAAATGAAGATTTTGACATGCCTTCATTTTTTCCAGAGATATTCCATGCTGAAGCAAAGAGCCATAGAGCTTACTTTGACCGAAAGATATTCTGTTTACATATCTTTTCACATTTTCAGATTTCTTATTGAAATTTTCCATTTCCTCTTTACAAATTTTACTTCCCCATTTGGGAGAACCTACCTACTCCCCTTAAAAAAATCTTCATGTGATGCAGTCCCATATGTCTCCTATTTTTCTCTCTCATTAATGCTGATCAAATTATCAGGGTTTCCCTATTTTTTCCCTTGGTTTTCATCAGCTGCGAGACAAAGGGCTATCTGTCTATTAGAAGATGTATCCAGTCAGCATTTGTATATCTTTAAAGGGTTCTGACTCAGACTGACAATAAGTATTTAATTGAATTACGTACTGAAGAGCCACTAAAGTACAATCTTTTTATAGTATGTTATTTAAAAAACATACATTTGGTGAGTTAGTATGCTTAAAAATGGTTGAAATTTCATCATTTTTGATAATGCTTTACTTCCAGATTGTTGTTTTTGTTATAATAATATTAGTATATTGTTAATGTTTAGTGAAATGCATTGCATCAACACCTGGGTACCTCAAGTATCATACATTTTATTTAACTATTACTCTCATAATGCTGAAGAGATGCAAAAGAATAATTTTTCAAAACTGAGCACTTACGTGGCTAAGGTAATCCATCATATTTTTAGGGCTTTAACGGGTTTTGCACTTGTATATGGTTTTGTTAGGCTTGTGTTGTTAACAAATAAGAACATACTTTTGGCTTTTTGTGTGTCAAATTATGTGACCTGGATTATACTTCATCCTTATTAAGTTCTCTTAGGGAAGACATTTTGCAAATACACAATATATAGTGAAATATCAGGTAGAAAGCAAAGGTTTTTTTTTTTTTTTTTTTTTTTTAATAGAATTGAACCAATGCTACTTTCCTCCAGTTTAATGTAAGTTTAAAAAAAATCATATTTTATATCCTTACCAGGATTAATGGGCTTTATTTACAGAGAAGTATGCTTCCCATTCTGCTTCTGTCAGACACTCACTGAGACCTCTTTCTCAGGTTCAGCTCAGTGAATTTTCTGTTCTTTCACTCTATATGTTATTATGGTGAAAGGTCACCACTGCTTTCCTGGTCTTTGCTTTCCTGTGACGTGGGAGCTTGCCAGAGACTTCCCCAAGCCATGAAGCTACAGCACACACAAGCACTTCACAAGGATAGATGACAGATATGAACACTGTCTCAAACCATTTGCAATGGTTTACATTGCCTCCAGTGGCCAAAATGTTAATATTAAACATGTGAATGAAACTCTTGTGTAGATAATACAGAATAGGCTTCCAAACTCACTTTATCAAATGCAAAATAGAGGGATGCTGTTGCCACTCGTAGCACAAAGCATCCCAATGCGTAGGGATGCAAAAATCACAAGTGCTCCTGGACTCCAGACCAACCACTGCACAGCCAACCAGGTTTGTCTCCAAACCCCAGATTTCTGGGAGCCTGCACACTTCAGTGCTGAGCTGATGTGTGCTCATCAGAGGGTAGGCTCAGACTCAGAAATTTCAAAGAAGAAAGCCATTCACCTTCCCTTTCAGACACAAAGCTTCTCTCCCTTTCCCAGCTACTCCATATTTCCTGAATAGTAAGGTCAGCTCAAGCAGTAAGGCATCTTGCTAACAACACTACCTCATGTGAAAACTTCATGTAGGAGAAATCCTACCAGTGTCTTTCTTTCCCTCTTTCTCTGTGCTGTGCTGACATGGTATTTCCAGTAGATCAGAACCATCCTACACAAACTCTAGGCCAGGCATTAGAAAAAACACTGGGATCACATTGTATATGATTTGGATGTTAATCAGAACTATTTGAAGTAGTGGTTAAAGTAGATTTCCTTTAAGTATGTTGCTTTCAGTAGTAGCTATCCACTAAATCTGACAACATTAAATGAAATATTTAATTACATCACATGTTGGTTATTGTATCTATCTTTCAATCTATAAAACTGCTTAACAATGAACTCTATTTTAATTAACTGTGAACAATTAACTCTAAAGGCTGCTCAGTTGTATTTGCAGTAACTAAGTTCAGGAGTATTTGCTTAAGTTTTTTACTGTACCATCATAAAAGATAGCTGGGAAGAACAAAGGCTGCCTGACTATAGAGAGGTACTTGAAAAGGATGTTTTTACATTTCCAATTTTGAAGCCAGTATATTCTCACTTTTTGAGTTGAAATGGTTGATCTTCCTCATACAGCACTAAACTTTCTGCTTTTCGTGGTGTTATTTGGTTATGATTCTTACTGTACAGAATAGACTGAGGCAATAAGGGCACAGCAGACTTTTTTTTTTCTTCATTTTATATACTGCTTAATCCCAAAATTATGGTTCATTGTTTTATTTACAACTTTTGATACGCCAACCAAATCCAGGAGTAATGAAATCAATTCCATGAGCAGACTGCAGGGCTCGAACTCTTCCCTGGTTTTCTTCTTGTGCAATCCTTTTGAGACTTGAGGAGAAGGTAGCCCAAAAGAAGCTTAATGCATGTTATTTTTCAATGATTTTAAAAGACCAAATCCTTCAAAATTTCCACAAAAAAAATATAGAGGGCAGCAATTTTATTTCCTGTTTTCTTTCTCCTGAAGATGAAAGTCCAGTGTATGCACGCTAAGTAGAATGGCATTTTTAGATTCAAATGCACCATAACTAGACTATTCTATTTTGAAGAGATCATCTCCTTTTTGAACAATTTAGCCTCTTTCGCATTCCCACTTTTAGGCTGTATCAACAAACTGCTCCAAATTTTGTTAGATGCTGATTTGTCTGTGGATATTTTTCTATTAGGGCATAGATCTAAGACCAAACTCTCTTTATGAAAGTGGTGAACCTGGCTATAAAAATATGACACAAAGCATCTTAAGATGGTGAAAGTAATCACATTTATCTGATCAAAAATATGTATTGCACTTAGTGCCATTATTAACCTAATGAGCTGAACGGTAAATTCTTATGGTATTTATAGAAGAACAAATGGATGTTTCTGACAGAGAAAGTGGCTTCTCATAGTTAGTGGGGGATGGTAGAGTATTCATAAGCTCAGAATGAAGTTTCTAGTTAAGTCGAGTGTTATAATGGGAAATGTAAAATAGGCAAAGTGATCCTGGATGGATCTGTAAATATACCCTGCTTTATTAAAAAGATATATTAAAATATGAAATGGCTAGCTGTGTAACCTTCCTGCCCTCTGGCATATACAGGAATATTTTTGAACCCACCCTTCTGAAAAAAAGAATGAGACAGAGAGAATTATGACCAAAGGAGGTTTTTTAAATGGAAAATATAGAGGGCTTTGTATGATAATACTTTCTGCTTTAATAATGCATTTTGCCATAGTTTTTAAACATGTTTTAAAAACAAGGGCCTTTCCTCCCATATTCCTGTGCATTTGTATCCTTGAAGTGCATTGTCAAATTGCAGTATGCTGATATTGATATGGTGATGTAGCATCAGGATATTGAAATAAACTAATTTTTTCTTTCTCAATTTTTAAGATCCAGATTTTAAGGACCTTGGAGTTTTGAAACCATTGCCAGGTTGGTATGTTGTTTTTTTTCCAGAAAATTTGGAGGCCTTTGCACTCTGCTGTAGAAAATAGTTTTGTTTGCTGTTCAGGTTTCATTTTTCTGGTATTTTGTTATTCAGTTTGTGAGTTTGAAATGGGAGGACCTGAAGGAATTGTGGAATCTGTGCAAATTGTCAAAGAAGGAAAAGCTTCTGAAACTGAAGCAGTAGACTGTAAATGGTACATCCGAGCACCACCCCGATCCAAGGTCAGTCTTTCATCCACTTGCTGATTTGCCACTTAATTTAAGAAATTGACTTTTCTAATGTGGTGTGCATTTCTTAGTACAGACAGATCTTGCTTAATAACTTTACAACTTGAACCTGTAAACCACTTTTTCCTTTGCTGTTGAAGGGTAATTTGTCACCTGAGCCAAAATAACCTTCTTTCTGTATAAATAATGTTGTGGGCAGCATTAATGTGGTTTTGTGCCATAAGTAATTTGCTGGAACTCATCTTTAAATTTACTCATACTTTAAAAGAATCAGTGTGTTACCTGAGAGGTAAGCTTATCACTTTATTTTTCAGTACATCTCATATATCTAACAGAGAGACTGTTTAAGAAACATTTCTGCTTCCCTGAGGTCATCTTTGTTTCCCATTTGCGAAGTGCAAAAATGAAACCAAGGTAAATTCTAGTTCATTTGCACAAGGCCTTGAGTTCCTTTATTTCAGAGGCACTGACAAAAAGCAGCAGTGCTTTTGTTTTTCTCCCACAGTAGTCAGCAAGCCATGCCTCTGTAACAAGCAGAAGGAAAAGAGGGCTCCAGCGAATCTAATGATTCTTTTCTTGGATTCTGTTTGAGTTCCCCTTGAGTTCCCCACAGTTTATCAGGCAGTGCTTGGATTAATTGTAGTTAGCTGCTCTACCGTTTCTCCTCCTTTGCATTTGGAACAGCTTTGTGCCTCCCATCTGCTTTCATTCATTCTACTAAAGGCAACCCAGAGCGTAATCTTACTAGCTGTCTTCTATTTGAAGAGAAAGGTTTTGCAAACTGGGACTAACATACTGTATTGAACACATCTGACTGCTACTTGAAGAGCTTCCAGAAAAAAAAAAATAGTTTTTTAATTTGTTTCAGCACTTTTCTGTTGTGAAAATTAAGGAGCGAAGTATAACTGTATGAATACCTGTCTCATAAAGAATATAAATGCAAAAATATTTTCAGAATATAGTTTAATCTCTCTTTTATTTTACTCTTGAATACATGCAATATTCATAGAAGTTTTCCATTAAATAGGTTTCCCTTAGGCTAGAGTTAGTAGTTATAAATGGGATATAGTTGAACTCATGAATGATTATTGCAATATTCAGTGTAAGTGCTCAGATGAGGAAGGTTAGTAGGTGAGAAAACAGATAAACACATAAAATCTTACTATCAGCACAACTAAAAAAGTTAATAGAGTTGCCTTATAGTCTTAATTTCGTTCATAGTCAGTTTGTCAGAAAATGTCATTGTGATGTTCCTATTTGATCTAATTCTGAAGTTCTACATGACTCAAAGTCCTGATAGAAATCCCATATTTGCTTTCCACAGGATTTATCCAGACTTTAGTCATGATGTAAAAATACAAATTGTGCAGCCGTATGACCATAACCATAGCACATTGCAAAAGCACACTGTCACTGTCAATAGAGGATTAAAGAACTTTCAGTTCCTGATGAGCTTCTATATCTGGACTTAACTATATTTCATTTCAAAAAAGTATGGACCAACTGAAGAGCATCTAGCAAAGAGCACAATGGGACCATTCTGGAAAACATGATAAAAGCCTCACAATTATTTAATGTGATGTTGAAAATATTGAGAAGAAGCTTGTTGTCAGACATAATATAATAAAAGCTTCTTAGAAAGGAATGTTCAGATGTCCATTTCTACAGGAAAAGTCATGGTCCTGCATTGCAACAGGAAGATTCAGGTTATATACTAAGTTTGTTCCTTTAAACAGCAAGGAAATCACTGTAAATGACTGGTAAAGGAAGTTTCTTCAGTCAATATTGCTAATAGTCTTTAAGAGCAGGTTTGACAAATAGCTATGAAGAATGAGAGAAATGAAAGTGATCCTACTTGTAGACAGGCAAGTGGACCGTGTCATGTACTGTTGCTGCTCCCACGTTACATAATTCCTTGGACAGAGAAACGGGGCATTACAAAGGCTTATAAATCAGTGCTTCCTAACATGTCAGGGAAAACCCACAAGTGAGGAAATCTATGATTCAGCTTAAACGTCCAGTTTAAATTTATACACTTGAACATTCATAGTGTGATTTTCATATATATTCTATATATATACAGCATATATACATAGTATACATATATATAAATATATATGTTGTCATACTATGAAAATTTAAAAAGTTTTCAGATTTTAAGGAAAAAAAATCAGTGAATAAAACTTAAAGAAACCTTCTATGAAGCAGAAGTTACAGAGAGAATGTTTATGGATCTAATTCTGTTGCATTGAATTTTAGAGTCCCTATTTCATAGCTGTCTTCTTTTGTATCTATCTAACCTTGAACTGCTGGCATATTCATTGTAATAATTCCATGACCTCATTCTAATTTATGGCAGTTTGCACCTATGAGAACAGGCTACTCCCCAGCTAAGAACAGTAAGAACTCAACAGCAGTCTATCTCCACATGTTCCTGTGCTTTGGGCTGCACAATTTGTTACTGGGAACTATGCCTAAAAGACCTGAGTTTCTCAGACAGAGTTTGGGTTGAATCTTCACATCTTTAGTTTCTTAATTAGACTGTGCAATTTCATTTGGCTTTAGCTCATCCAATCTAAACTTCTGCAGAAGCAAGTCCCCTCAATGCTTTGCAATTGCAGATTCAAGCCAAGTCTGAGCTCAATGTATAAGCAATGAGATCAGTCAAAGAGCCTGAATTTGAGAGCTGTAAGCCTGAGCTTCAACCTGACAGTCTGGGTGTAACATTGCTGCTAAGCTCAGCAAGTTGGAATGGGACAGAGAAGGGAAAATTCCCTGTACATGCTTTAAATATTGAGTCATCACTGACCACTGTATACACAGGAAGTGCTGAAATTGCAGGGAGAACCAAAACTTTCTGAAGTGCAGGAGACAACGGAAGGCAGTTTAAGAATTACTGCTTAAACACTCTATATGCAACCCTGGAACCTTATCTTTGACCGTGACTCTTTGTGAGGTATATATGTGACTCATTTAATTGTTCCAAGTCAATTCCTTGAATAATTTCAGAGATATCATTGGATAAGCTTATTGTACTGGGACCTGAATAACTTCCCAGATATCTTGGCTACTTTAGTGGAAGAAGAAAGAATCCTTCATCTGTGGATAGACAGAAAGAAATTAAAAAGAGCATTGGTGTGTTCTCCTGTCAAAGGAGGGTGAAGTCTTCTAGAAGAATGAAACAACAACAAGCATTATTCTATTTTGGATGTGTCAACAGAGTTCTGACAAGGACCTTAGGAAAACAGGATACATGTTTGTACTCATTTAATAGAAAATTATTCCAGCAGGCTGCACACAGAATCACAGAATCACAGAATGGTTAAGACTGGAAGGGACTTCTAGACATCTAGGGATGTCTAGTCCAACCTCTTTGCTCCAGGAGGACAAACTTAGAGCACGTGGCAAAGGGTGGCATCCAGGCGGGTTTTGAAGACCTCCAGAGAAGGAGACTCCACAACCTCTATGGGCAGACTGTTCCAGGACTCTGTCACCCTCACAGGAAAGTTATTCTTCCTCACATGGAGATGGAACCTCCTGTGTTTCAGTTTGTACCCATTACTCCTTGTCCTATCACTGGCCATCATCATACTGTGTGTGGCCACCGAGAAGTTCAACAGAAAAAAAAATACATCAGAATTTGACAGTACAAAGAATAAAACAAGAGATGATGTTCTGATGTTGGGGAAATATAAGAAGAGCTTATAATCAGAAGTTTTGGGCAGCCTGAGAAAAAGAAAGAGCTGCTAGATTACAGATGGACAAGTAGTATTTTGAATTCTGTCCAGTGGAAGTCATCTATTCAGGTGGAATAAGCAAAAAAGTATTTAGACTGGGCAAATGCTGAGGCCATTCTCAGTTTTGTCTACCATATGAAATAAAATAAAGTTGTAAACTAAGTAGGCAAAGTCATGACTAATACTGTCATCTAAGCCTACCAATAGGCAATGAAATCTCTTGATTGTAGGATGCAAGACTTAATAAAAAGTTTAAGAAACAGAAAGATTAATTAACAAAGTCCTAATTCTGTTGTATCTTTAAGGGCAGACAGGACAGAGAGCTTGCTGGTGAGCGGTACAGCTTTGTAGCACACCAGGAAGAGCAAGACAGGATAAGTGACAGCAAACAGAGGTCAAGAGTACACTTGTCACCAAGCAAGTGTGCAGGGATGAAGTCAAACCATGAAGGCAACTCAATACGAGTAGGACAGAAGCAGTGAGGTACCAGGCTAAGGCAGGTGGCCCCTCAGCAGCATGTGGGCCATGACCGTCCATGGACCCAAGCTGAAATTCTCCAGCCAGGACTCCTCATAACCTTTTCTCATACCTGAGCTGTTTTCTCAGCAGTTTGAGCCAAGAATGCACTGCTGCTCTGCATGAGAGCCAAGTTTGAGAACAAGTAGCTGAAGTCCTCAGAAGACTGAAGACTGATTAGTCCTGAAGAAGAGAAAGAAGGTGTGACAAAGACACTTAAGTATTTATTTACAAATGCTTGAGGCTACAAATAGCTGCTTGAGGCTTTCAATCACTTATCACCAGTCTCAAAACAGGCCCTACATCCTATTACCAACCAAATATAGAGGTGATGTTTTCTACTACAAACACCTGATTTGCAGATTGAATGTAATCTTGAGGGAGATTTGGTGGTTGCACATGCATTTCCTAGACTGTTATTGAAAAAAATATACATACAGTGAAGCAAATTCCACAGCTATCATTGTGTACAAGTCAATCTGATTAAAGTAAAACATCTTTTGTTCTCATGTGGAAAGTGAAGCTTCATGTTCTGGAACAATACCTACGAGAAAAAGAGTTTAAGCTGTCAGTACTAGAAGACTAGCATAGTTTTTGGAAGCTTTTTAACCATATGCAGAAGAGAAGCTTTAAGTAGTGTACTAAAATGTAATGAGAGGCATTTAGATGGTGATTCCTGAAATGTTACAGGGAAATAGGAGCAATTTAGAGACAGAAGCACATAAAAACCGGAGACATTTT